GATTACACTTTAGGTTTGATATTTATTTAATCTTATTAATCAACTTATAATCATTATTAGAAAGAAATTGAAAAGTCATGGGAGTTTCAAATGAATGTGGTGAAAGAAAAATGAATGAGAGTTTCAAATGAATGTGATGAAAGAAAAAATGCTTCCTTTATAATATAGTATGATATGATAGTATGATATGATATGATATGATATATATATATATATATATATATATATATATATATATATATATATATATATATAAACAATTGTTAGGACAACAGGAGTGTTATCTGTAACCCAATCCTTTTGTATCCTAAAAGTGTAAAATAGGACAAATTGTAGTTAAAGCACTTTCAAGATTCTTCCTTCGTAAACTGCATTCGTATATACCCAAAATCTGAAAGTTCTAACTGGAAGCTTAATCTTATTTCTATACAATTAGCACGTCATACAAATTTGGAAGGTATATCAAATACAATAAATCTGTTATTTACCCATATTAATTAGATTAAGGCCTACCGGTATGGTGACCACGAAGTGGGTCGTGGTCTAGGTGGCCATGAACCACGACCGTGTACACCACCCCGGTGGTTCGTGGTGGGTCATGGTCGTGGCCCTCCATGCTCCCGACAACGAACCCAAACGGCCAATAGTTTCACTTCTTGCATTAAATCTCGTTTGACCACTTTCTTCCCCTCCCTAACGACTTCTTTTCTATTTCTTCAACATTCACCTATAAATACTACCACTCATCTTCTTACTTTCATACAATTCTTCTCCCCTTTAGATACATTTTTGTTGTTTGATCCTTCAAAAACTATGCCTCCCAAAAATAAGAAATGGTCAGAAGAGAAAGAAGTGAAATTAGCACAAGCATGGGTGACAGTTTCGGAAGACGACGCTGGTAAAACTTCCGGTTCTTTTTGGATAAATGTTGAAAGTGTTTTCCATGGTTTAATGGGTTGTGTAATTCGAAATGTTGATGAAATATGCTTGAAGTGGCGCGATATGAGGCCCAAATGTTCTGAGTTCAATGGAATTTACAACTTTGTTGTAAATAACATACACGAAGCCGATATCGATCCGGTTAATGTGGCCATGGAGCAATATGAAAACACAAATCATCAACGTTTTAGACATGTCAAAGCTTGGCAAAAATTGAAGAATTCTCCAAAATGGAATAACCTTGCTTAAAAAAACACAAATTAGAAGTTTGGTATTTTTAGCCTTTTAATTCTTAATGTTATTTTTATTTTAGTTAATATAATTTTTAGTTTTAAAGTTATTTTTATTTTTTTTCGTTTTAATTAATGTAGTTTTTAATTAATTTAATTTAGTATTTTAAATTAATGAAAATTAGTATTTAAAAAAACAATTATATGAATTTTTATGTATTTTTGAATTAAATTTAATTAAAAAAAATAAGGTGGAGTGTTGTGTTTAGTGGTAGGTATCCCATGTTAGTGGTAGGGGAATGTGGTGCTGATGTGGCATCCACCACATATGTGGTATGTGGTAGGTATAACAGATGGTCTAATATTTTGCAAACAATTTAGCCTAATATTTAGGATTTTCAAATTTCAAAACTTAAACATATACTCACACTAGGTGTGAGACCCGTGTATTACACAGATTTTTTAAAGAAAAAAAATTAATATATATAGGTGAGCATTACATGTTATTTTAGTAATGATTTTACATAAAGACAAGAATCTATAATGAATAACTTAACTATTTCAATATATAAACAAATAAAATAAAAACATACGTATTTATAAACTGATGATGACAAAAAAATATACTTCCTGTTATACGTTTTTCATAACATTATAACATTTTTGATCATTTTTATGTTGTGTAAATGACAAAAAGGAAAAAATGGTCAAAATGACCAAATTCACCAAAACGGAAACAATTGTCAATTTCACAAAAAAAGATTAATTGCTGTTGTGCTATGAAGTTCTAAGGTATTGTACTTATACGACTCGACCATTCATAACATTCTACTTACATTAGATTCAAAGTTTTAACAACATAAATTAGTTTGAAAGTTTTAGACCTCATATCTAAGTTTTTGATGAATGATGTATTTAATGGCCTTATTATTGCATTCTTTTGACGCAGGATGAGATTAATCAGACAAAGAATTGGAAACATTCATTCAAATTGACAAAACTACCATTGTGGTTGATGTTGTTAATACTACGCAATATTCAGTTTCACATTTAAGTTTAATAGTTTCAAGCAGTGGAGTTAAAAACAGGCATGAAGATTTCAAAAAAAAAAAAAACATTCCTACTGAAAAGTCAAAAAAAAGAAGTTAAAATAGGTAAAAGATTCAATATTTGAGCAAGTTATAACAGAAAAACCGGTTATTGAACAAATACAACAATGATTCCAACATCAAAATCGGGAGAAAAAGTAAATTAAGTGTAAAACTGTCCAAAACACTAATTACAATTACAGTCACTCTGTGATTTCGCATTCGGTTAATTATTATAATGAAATTATGTAATTACCAAGTTTGTTCATAAGAATTTTACCTATACTCCCTGTATCGATCGAAGGAATCACCACTCCAGAGTTTTATCAGATGCCGTAACTGAGAGGAAATAAAGATAAAACGCAACCAAATAGAAGTGGCTATGGTTGCCGATTGTAGATGGTGAGAGTAAACGATTTGACAAAAATTCTAAATTCGATCAACAAAGTTAATGGCGCATCAATTGTAAAGGTAAATGGTGAAATTTTGATATGTAAAGTTGTGAAAATTTTGTACGATTTAGGAAGAGATTACAATCATACAGTTGGGAAAAAATTTGTTCCTGATTTTCAGTTGTCTACGTCAATGATTTAGTAGTATAATTGACTTTCCTTATATGTATTTTAATGCAAGTAAATCAAGATAATTTCTAACATTAACAAAGAAAACATAGTACATCGCATGAGACACAGCAAGAAGGTTTTTTGATGGTTACGACTAAAACGAAAAAAAGAGCAAATATTTTACTCCAAGTCCAATCGTGAAAAAGAGCCAGTTTACTGATTAATTCCTGAAAAGGACCAAAATACCCTTTAGTTAGCCCCTCAATTCTACTCATTTTGTCTTTCGTTTTCCAGCTTAGCCAACACAGAAACATGAAAAAAAGATTAGAAATGTCTATTTTAACAATAAACCAAAAAAAGACCATATTGCCAACCTCAAGGAAAAGACCAAAATGCCCTCGTGTGCAAGGCATGAGAATGGAAACAAAAACGTTATGAAACAGTAAAATAGGGACCAAAAAGAAAGAAAACTATATTCATTTCAACTAAGCACAAGACCAAAAAGGTAGTTTTACTCTAATAATAGTGAAGGTCCATGTATTAAAAATGAAACATGAAGAAAAAAAATTGAATTGAAATCATTAAAACTTAAAAGGGAGTGCAGAAAAAGTAAGTTAAAACCATTAAAGGAAGTGCAGAAACATGAAAAAATATTAGACATGTCTATTTTAACAAGAACCAAAAAAATATCATATTGCCCATGAAAAAATATTAGACATGTCTATTTTAACAAGAACCAAAAAAATATCATATTGCCCTTTATTCATATTATTGCAGCAAAACATCATCTATCTTTAAAATACCTAATGACCACTCATTACTTCTATTTTTGCTTTTCTTATTCCTAAGAAAAAACTCCAGAAGCATAAAGGCTTGAATAAACTTGCAAATTATAATATTAACCAAAAAAAACAAATACTATTTTGCTTTGTTATTAACCAACTTACACGTTTGAAGTTATTAAATTTTACTTAAAAAGTTGTATATTAATATATCATTTTACTCCAAATGAAATCGTGAAAAAGACCCATTTTACTGATTAATTCCTGAAAATGACCAAAATACCCTTTAGTTAGCCCCTCAATTTTACTCCATTTGTCTTTCGTTTTCCAGCTTAGCCAACACAGAAACATGAAAAAATATTAGACATGTCTATTTTAACAATAAACCAAAAAAGAGCATATTGACAACCTCAAGCAAAAGACAAGAATGCCCTCGTGTGAAAGGCATGAGAATGGGACCAAAAACGTTATGAAACAGTAAAAGACCCATTTTATTACAAATGAAACCTGAAGAAAGAAAAAATGAATTTAAATGAAACATGAAGACCCATTTTACTACTTAATTCTTGAAAAGGACCAAAATACCCTTTAGTTAGCCCCTCACTTTTAATCCTTATGTCTTTCCTTTTACAGCTTAGCCAACACAGAAACATGAAAAAACTTTAGACATGTCTATTTTAACAATAAACCAAAAAGGAGCATATTCCAACCTCAAGGAAAAGGCCAGAATGCACTCGTATGAAAGACATGAGAATGGGGCCAAAAACGTTATGAAACAGTAAAAGAGGGACAAAAAAGAAAGAAAAATATATTCATTTCAACTAAGCGCAAGACCAAAAAAGTAGTTTTACTCTAATAATATTGAATCTCCATGTATCACCTAGTCTTGGTTAGTGTTTACACCTTTAAAGGAAGTGTAGAAACAGAGGTTATGAACAGAAATTTGTGTTTCATGTGGGATTTTTAACAACAAAATAAATCTTTTCTTTTTCATAAGATTTTGGAAGTGATACCTGGTCTTAGTTATTTTTTACACCTTCGAAAAAACTAATTCTCACATAAAAATTCCCACCGTAAAGCCAAAAGAGTATTTAAAAGAGGTAAAAGATTAAAACTTTGAGCAAGTTATAACAGAATAACCATTATACACAGTTATAGACCTCATATATAATTGAAGTTAATGGCCTGATACCACACACACACAATCCAAGTTATCCTAATACCATCTATTAACCAAATAAACAAAATAAAAATTACAAAATCAACATCATAATCGTTGATTAACATTTCAATTTTGTATGGTGGACATGCTATGCACCAAGTCCGAACGTAATGCTGCAAACAAACTCTTTCAAGAAAATGTGATAACATATGAATGAGATTGTACTTATACATAATTTACAAATTCGATTTTGGAAATGATATGAATCTTTGATTTGTAATTGTACAGAAATTGTGAATGAAGGAAACAATGAAACGTATCTCAAAATTACGTGTTTTTAAAAAAAGAATGACCGAAATCTCTGTTTGACCATTGAGAATCTTGATTTTGAATTTAATACATTGCCTAACAATTTACGTTAGAATTAAAGGATTAGTCAACATTGTTTAAAATTAAGTTAACTTTTTATATTTTTAGATTAAGAAAAAAACCAAAACTACCGGAATTCAAAGCCAAGATTCCTGCAAATTAAACAGGTTGGTTTTTATATCTACATATTTATGATGTGTTAAAATAACGAATAATCGGAAACAATTTATTGTGTTATACCTTCGATCTTGCTGTCGTGATATCCAAATACTCCATTGCTTTGGTCGACATATGTTATTACCGATCAACATCAGCTTATAATCCATGTACTTTTGTATTCAATTAAGAATTTTTCTCTGGACGTATATTCGAAATGGGCATAACAATTGATTTGAGAAATTTTGAAGGAGCAAAGGTGGACGCTGGTGGCAGAATTTTGTATAACGTCGATCACTAGGGCAAAAAATTAGGAGATGTAATATTCGACTGATATAGGTAAAGACGTAAAGGAGGTGGGGATGAAGGGTAAGTTCGTCGGTGGGTTTGTTCGGACATAAATTTTTTTTTTTTTTTTTTCAAATTAAATACAAATTTCAGCCAAATCAATATTTTTATATTTATTTGTTAATATAATCGCAACTAAAATAATCATCTTAATGCTAACCATATAAATTATTAATATTATTATATAGATCACATGATTAAGTAACATAATTAATCTATATTTATTTATTGTTCTAATATAAATATAAAAATAATTTATATATTTTTTAAAATTTTTTTAATGACTGATAATAAAGATATTTACATAATTTCGATTGCTAAACAAGTACTAAAAAATATAAATTAAATAATATTGTATATCTTAAAATTGTTATGTCATATTTACTTAATCGTATTTTAAAATATCTGTTTAATTTTAAATTTTTTGCCAATCATTTTTTATAAGTTTACAATTTATTCATTATTATACTTATATATGAATTATGTTTTATGTACAACATTCGTTATTGTTTAGATAATCGTGTATTCTACATAAAACCACAAATGTCGTTAATATCATTACTTACAAAAATAATTAAGTTTAAAATTTTAAGGTTATTTTTTTATTTTAATGTAATTTAATTTTATTCATCATATTTTATATATTTTATGGATTTTTAAACTAATCATCAAAATTATATATGAATTACATATAAATTTTATCATATGTTAACATGTATATGCCTTTAAATAACGTATTCATGTATCTACTATTTGATTATAATTCAAATTTTGTGGATTGATGCACCTTACCAACTCTCAGTAACCCTTATTTTCAAATTATTATGATTATTTTAAACTTAACTTTATTATTGGTCATTATTTACCAAACAAGAACATGGATATCATTTCAACATATATCTAGTGCACATGATATTCATTTTAACCAATACATTAATTTTCTTACTTTATTTTATATATGTAATATGTTTTATCTATTTATCAACCTTTTATGTAGTCATGTAATCATACTAATGTGATTATACTAATGCTAAAAAGAGGAGAAAAATTAGAAAGTTATGTTTGGATAATAGAAAATCCAAAATAATTTGTAACACATCAACCCTATAAAATTTCTCTATTATAAATTAATAAATGTTTTCTTATCATTAGTGAATCATTACCTTATGATTTATTTGTAATTTTTTTTCCTTTCTCATCCTGCTTTTCACATGTTATAACTAGTATGTTATAAATAAAAGTTTTTTAATATTATATACATAATACAATTGTGTTGGTTTTTAATTTTATTTCGTTTCTATTATTCAAATGATATGTTTTGTGATTTTTTTATTAATAAATCTCAAATTTTAACTTCCCAATATATAATGGATCTCAATATTTAATACTAGGTTATAACCCGTGGACACCATGGGTATGAAATTTAAAAATAATTTAAATTAAATTATAACTTAATTATTGAGAAATGATAATAAAAATTTTAATAGCTAATAATGATATATGTTACGTCAGTAATTTCATAATAATGATATAATGATTGGTTGAAATTATGAAAACATAATGGGTTTAATAAAATCATAATAAACATATAACCATTTATCAACATAAATAAACATATTTGAAAAAAATAACCCATATAAATCTTTGTATTAAATATAAAACTAATGAATTTGTATTAAACATTATGATATTTAATGTTTTTAAAAAAATATATATATAAAAATTCATATAATTACTTAATATACATATTTTTTTGAAATGATATGATAGTAACATTATTAAGATGATATAGCATCATAAAGCTACTTAAATTAAGTTCAAAAGCAAATAAAGAGGACGTATAGGATTTTGACGACCTGATTATCAAGAGCTAAGACGTCTGTTTTGCTTAACTGTAACAAATAGATAAAAAACAATTCTTAATGTTAAAACCAAACTGAATAAAAACAATGAACCAAAATGAATAAAAAAAGTGAATCGGTCTTGTTTACTTCTTGTTTTCTTCTCCCCAAAATGTTAAATTAGAAAAAGTCCTTTCTTTCTTCTCTTCTTGTAATACGCAGGTAGTCACCCGCAAGGACAAAATCACACCACCGTTCTTCAATTGATGGTTGGTAAAAGATCATAGCATATGTTGTTTCCCTCTCCACTCATCTTGAATCAACATGAGTGAAAGAGTAAGAAAGCGCAACCGAGAAAACTCTATGCTCGTTCCTTATTCTGGTTCACGATGGCTTGTTTCCCGGCAAGGTGTGACGGGAGCGATCATTGGCGGCGGTTTTGAATAGGTGGTGATGGGTTTGTGGTGGTGTTGGGTGTTAGACGAAGGTTAATTATTATGGAAACCCTAGTATTGCTTACTTGTTTCTAGTCGATCACAATCTGATTCTTGATTTCATTTGGCAAAGCTTCTTCGAGGTCGGTGCTAAAAACATTTTTCTAACATTACATCATTATCCTATTCTTCAATTCTGTATCATTTGATTGGATTTAAATACAATTAAACAAATGAATACTTGGCTTGATTCGATCAATATTGAATTACTAAAAACATAAACGAATCAGGGGTGCTTGGATGCACTATTTGAAATCAATTATATCAACTTTCTGTTTTATTTGAGCTCCCTTAACTTCATTGATAGTAGTTTAAGTTTGAACATTTCCATGGATCCTTCATAAGTATTAAATTGTTGGGATTTGTTCTTTTGTCTGTATGTCCATAGAGTAATCAAACATTCATATTTATATTTATTTCCTAATGTTCTATGAATTGATTCTTTATCTTTATAATAATCAAATTTCAAATCAATAGCATTCAAATTGTCTCTTATCTTGTGAAACAATTTAAGTGTTAATTGCAGGTAAATTGGGGGTGAATCAACCATGATTGAAGCCGGAAAATTGCTACTTCAAGAAGCTCTTGAAATTCCAGCAAACCAAAGATTTATTATTTTATCAGACAGGTATACCCCTAAAAGACTTGTTATTATAGCTATAGCCTATAGTTACATGATTACATCAAATATGAGTAAATGACCATTTTAAGCTTTCTTGATTCACTATAATCCTAGGGTGTCTTCTATTATACCAATGAAAAAATAGCAAAAAGGCTCACATGTGAATTATATTTTCATTTTAATACCATTCTTTCACAATCTTACTACATTGATAGAATTGATTTTCACTTGTACATATGGATTTATTTTATTCTTATACAAATGCATTAATAGCCACTAATTTAAAGTACATTACCATTGTATGCATGTAGTATATCCAATCAAATTTAAATAAAATTATTTGATAGAAATGGTCCCAATAGCAGATTTAACATTATAACTTTCTGTTATAAAAGTATTTAACATGAACGTATGATAGTATATGGTGAAAAAAATAAAAAACTTAGGTGTCGTTTGGTTCACTGTAATCCATTGGAATTAGAAGGAATTTGAATCTAATTCCATCACTTTCCTTTGTTTGGTTCAAGCTTTCAAAAGGAATTTCATTCCTAAATGAGCAAATTTTCCTTCCAATGAGGGAAAATAAATTCCATCCAAAAAGTTAAGGAATTAAAATTCCATTCAAATGAGAATGTTGAATGTTAACATATTACCCATTTTACTTTTAACACTACATATGAAAGCCATCTGTCGCCACCACCATCGCAACCCCCACCATCATCCACCACCCACCACCACCGCTACACACCACCACCACAACCACCTCCACTGCCACCCACCATCAACACCACCGGTACCTTCGCTACTACCACCCTCCACCCACTAGCACCGTCACCTCCACCACCACTTATCACCACCACCACTCATCACCACCACCACACATCACCGTCGTGACCACTCGCTACCACCACATCCGCCACCACCCACCACTGTCACAACCACCCATCACCACCACCGTCACTATCACTCGCCACCTCCACCACCGTTACCTCCACACTGTTGGATTAGGTGTCTAAGCCCATAATTATATTTGGTATGTACGTGACCCAGTTGTAGCATGGTCCTTTTGGGTTGCCTTCACCAGAGCAACTTGACTGGATGATTAATGGAGAAAGAGGTTATTATGGTTTATTAATATATTATTTGAATAATATATTAAAATAGAAATCATATTGGTCAATTAATACTGGTCAAGAATTAATTAAGAAATTAATTTTGTGATCAAAAGATATTAATTGAACCTAGGGGACTGGAATTGCAATTATAAGATAATTGGATTTTGGGCTGAGGATCCATTAGAAGGGGGTGGACGAAATCAAGGAGGGAAGCCTACCTTGAATTCGTCCAAGGCCTTATTCTGGAAGGTTCCTTTGGACTGCTTAAGCCCTAAGCTATCCAATTAGGGTTTTGACTGAAACCCTAGCAGCTCACCTATATAAAGGACCCCAGGGCTTCATAAATCGGCTACCACAACCCTAAGAAGAGTTCAAGAGCCGATTTTTAGCCTTCCCCTCTCTCTCTCTATTATTCTCGAACTTGCTTTGGTGTTTGTGATTCATTAAAGGCATCGCATTTGAGGTGTTAGGTTCTCAAAGTCCAAGATCTTCAAGCTACAATTGGAAGGTAATTTCAATACCTTAGTTTAGTTGTGTTTTTCGATTTTTTGTATGCTAGTATTAGGGTTTACAAGCTTTGGATGATTTTCATGTACAATTAGAGAAACCTAGATCCAAAGCTTTAGGGTTTCCATGTGCACCATAGGATTGATGTAATGCTCAAAACCCATCAGTGGTATCAGAGCCTAGGATCTTTTCTATTGTATTTGATGCCTTTTTTGATCATTCATTGCTTGCAAAATCGAATTTTTTGCCCTCTGACAGCTGAACTCGACGAGTCCAGTTAGTGACTCGGCGAGTCGGAGAGTCAGAGAGCAGATCTTTCGAGATTTTGGCCTATTTTTGATTGGGATAGTTACCAAAAATATTTTTGATTAATAAAATCCGATTTTTATTAAATAGATATGATT